AAAGCAAGCATAACATGCCATATTGCTGCAATTTCTCGAGAAACCTATCAGGCTACTGTTGAACATGTTGTAAAGTGCTTTGAACATGTGATTGACGCAAATGGATTGCACATTGAACAAATGTTGTGAATAAAAACCTTTTGCATGTTTCCATTTTGTGTTTCTTGTTCTTCATGTGCCATTTTATCACCTAGTGGTAGAAATTTGAACTAATTATTTTTTTGCACTTTCCTTTTCCCCATGGTCCATATAACGTATATACCAAATTTCATCAAAATACATCGAGAATGGACTCTATAGAGGTCTGAGTAGGGCAACTTTAATTATAACCACCCTGTATGTTCTATTAGACCAGTGTTTCACAACCTCTAACGAATCGTCACCCCCTTCAACGTAGTATCGCCCCTTCACTTCAAAATTCCGACATCGAGGGCCAAGGCTAACGCCAAATTCGTACTGCATTGAATAGACTAGTGACTAGTTTAATGTTATTTGTTTAATTATTGTACGATATAACAAATAAAATATCTAATTGTTCTTAATATAATGTTTTACTATATCGCCCAGAAAATTGTTTTTCGCCCCCNTATTTTTAATTTAATTTATCCACATCTGTAAAGTGGTTGATGATGATAGTTGATATGCTAGTACTCTGCAAACAATTTTAAATGTTCTGGAACTTTAACTGACAAATATAATAGGCAATTAAGAAAATTTGAAGGATAAGCATCCTGTGTTAGATGACATTTTCCATGGAGAATCTCAACTTTTTTACTCTCAATTATATGCACATAATTCTTAATTAGAAATCTTTCATCAAAATGCAAGTCACATATTCACAATTTTCTTATGAGCTGTAAATCTTTTCAAAGAATTTTGCATTTCTACTTATCTAACTGATTTGAAAGTGTGTAAAAATATGCCACTTCTTACGAGATTTGCAGTAGCCAGACTTACACCATCACAAAACACTTATTTGGCATTCTCTTCTTTCTTTTTTTCACAGAAAAAAGATACAAACATGCTTGAAAATGGTAAAACTACTCACTAATTAAATGGATAAACCAACCTCTTCTCGCCACAAAGAGACTCGAGTGCCAGCTATTAGCAACCTGACACATTAACTCTACTTTAGAACATAGCTGAGAGACCAATAAATTTATCAACTTTTATAAAAGTACAAATGCTTTTATAATAATGTAGACTTGATTTAGCATCAAAATTAAAATGTCCCAAATATTTAGACTTTGCACACACAAATTTTAAACAAATAAGCAACTCATTGCTGGATTTTTTAACTTTATAACTATCCTGGCAACTTTTGGTGGTGCCATCTGTTTTATATTTTTAACTAATAAAATATCATAAGGCAAAAAGCTTAGTTTTCAGAGTAGGGATGGGTTTTATAAAAAAAATTGTAAATGCTAATAATGAGTAAAAATGTCATTAAGTCTGACCCTATTTGAGATACACATGATCCCGTTTATCTTCCAACCCCTTGACCTTTGATCACCAAAAATTAATAGCATCAGTCCCCTAATAAACAAACCTCCCTGCAAAAATTCAGAAATTTTCAATAAAAAACACAGAAGTTGTTAAGCTTCAAACAGGTAGAACAAAATCATACAACACACACACAAACATCCATACAGAAATTACTCCCAAACTTTTTTACATTTCTCGGTCCAGGGTCAAAAAATGTAAAAATCTTTGAGGGGGTCATTTTTTAACCAATTGCCATGTTTTCCCTCTGTTGTATATTTTTACTTTCCCAGCTGTTATAATCTTAGATCTTGAATACTTTTATCTCATTTACATTTGTTTTTGTCAAATAAATTTGTTTGTATGATCATGTGCTTTTGTACAGTCTTTTAAGAATAGATTTTAAAGTCTTCTTAGAAGACAGTATTGTAATTGCAATAACTTAAAATGGGAATTCCCATTTTGTTGTAATTATATTAATTATTAATCAAGAAGTTTGCAATGTACACTAACCAATAGAATAACTGTCCAAGTTTCATCTCCCATCTGCATTCAAACATCTTGTTGTCTACTAACCCTAGGACAGCCATAAACGAAAACGAAGACCTCCAGTAGAGAAGGCATTTTTTATTTTGCACTTCACAAAGTCAGCATCATTCATCACTGTGGAACACAAGTAATTGGCAGGAAGTGTAAAATTGTCATGGAAAGAGTGACAACATATATTCTGTAGCAAGCACAAGAAGAATTTGAGTGGCAGTTGGATGTGTGCCATGTGGCACAAGATGGCACGTATTGAGACATTGTAATGGACAAACATGAAACTTCAGTTTTCCAATGTTTTAATGTACATTACAACATTCTCAGATAATTATTAACATAATTACAACAGATTCGAATTAAAGAATCCGGTTATAACAAAAGCTATAAAGAAGTAAGCCTGAAGAAGATTCCAGGAGAGGAATCGAAAACGTTTGCCGATTTTAAAGAATTTCACACTGGTTAATGGTTAATTGTAGGTAGTTGTTGGTTTGAAGTATATACAACCCGGTGTGGTGAGAAAGCACATTAATAATTACAACAATTTAAAACAGTAACATTCTTTTTCATTGATAGTATTACAATAATTTAAAATGTTAACACTGGATTATACAGGGTCTTTTTTCAAAGACCCCTTTCAAAGACCCTGTATAATCCAATGAATAAAAAATATAATTACATAATTTTTAAATTTTTTAAAAATTTATTTTAATTTAATTTATCCACATCTGTAAAGTGGTTGATGATGATAGTTGATATGCTAGTACTCTGCAAACAATTTTAAATGTTCTGGAACTTTAACTGACAAATATAATAGGCAATTAAGAAAATTTGAAGGATAAGCATCCTGTGTTAGATGACATTTTCCATGGAGAATCTCAACTTTTTTACTCTCAATTATATGCACATAATTCTTAATTAGAAATCTTTCATCAAAATGCAAGTCACATATTCACAATTTTCTTATGAGCTGTAAATCTTTTCAAAGAATTTTGCATTTCTACTTATCTAACTGATTTGAAAGTGTGTAAAAATATGCCACTTCTTACGAGATTTGCAGTAGCCAGACTTACACCATCACAAAACACTTATTTGGCATTCTCTTCTTTCTTTTTTTCACAGAAAAAAGATACAAACATGCTTGAAAATGGTAAAACTACTCACTAATTAAATGGATAAACCAACCTCTTCTCGCCACAAAGAGACTCGAGTGCCAGCTATTAGCAACCTGACACATTAACTCTACTTTAGAACATAGCTGAGAGACCAATAAATTTATCAACTTTTATAAAAGTACAAATGCTTTTATAATAATGTAGACTTGATTTAGCATCAAAATTAAAATGTCCCAAATATTTAGACTTTGCACACACAAATTTTAAACAAATAAGCAACTCATTGCTGGATTTTTTAACTTTATAACTATCCTGGCAACTTTTGGTGGTGCCATCTGTTTTATATTTTTAACTAATAAAATATCATAAGGCAAAAAGCTTAGTTTTCAGAGTAGGGATGGGTTTTATAAAAAAAATTGTAAATGCTAATAATGAGTAAAAATGTCATTAAGTCTGACCCTATTTGAGATACACATGATCCCGTTTATCTTCCAACCCCTTGACCTTTGATCACCAAAAATTAATAGCATCAGTCCCCTAATAAACAAACCTCCCTGCAAAAATTCAGAAATTTTCAATAAAAAACACAGAAGTTGTTAAGCTTCAAACAGGTAGAACAAAATCATACAACACACACACAAACATCCATACAGAAATTACTCCCAAACTTTTTTACATTTCTCGGTCCAGGGTCAAAAAATGTAAAAATCTTTGAGGGGGTCATTTTTTAACCAATTGCCATGTTTTCCCTCTGTTGTATATTTTTACTTTCCCAGCTGTTATAATCTTAGATCTTGAATACTTTTATCTCATTTACATTTGTTTTTGTCAAATAAATTTGTTTGTATGATCATGTGCTTTTGTACAGTCTTTTAAGAATAGATTTTAAAGTCTTCTTAGAAGACAGTATTGTAATTGCAATAACTTAAAATGGGAATTCCCATTTTGTTGTAATTATATTAATTATTAATCAAGAAGTTTGCAATGTACACTAACCAATAGAATAACTGTCCAAGTTTCATCTCCCATCTGCATTCAAACATCTTGTTGTCTACTAACCCTAGGACAGCCATAAACGAAAACGAAGACCTCCAGTAGAGAAGGCATTTTTTATTTTGCACTTCACAAAGTCAGCATCATTCATCACTGTGGAACACAAGTAATTGGCAGGAAGTGTAAAATTGTCATGGAAAGAGTGACAACATATATTCTGTAGCAAGCACAAGAAGAATTTGAGTGGCAGTTGGATGTGTGCCATGTGGCACAAGATGGCACGTATTGAGACATTGTAATGGACAAACATGAAACTTCAGTTTTCCAATGTTTTAATGTACATTACAACATTCTCAGATAATTATTAACATAATTACAACAGATTCGAATTAAAGAATCCGGTTATAACAAAAGCTATAAAGAAGTAAGCCTGAAGAAGATTCCAGGAGAGGAATCGAAAACGTTTGCCGATTTTAAAGAATTTCACACTGGTTAATGGTTAATTGTAGGTAGTTGTTGGTTTGAAGTATATACAACCCGGTGTGGTGAGAAAGCACATTAATAATTACAACAATTTAAAACAGTAACATTCTTTTTCATTGATAGTATTACAATAATTTAAAATGTTAACACTGGATTATACAGGGTCTTTTTTCAAAGACCCCTTTCAAAGACCCTGTATAATCCAATGAATAAAAAATATAATTACATAATTTTTAAATTTTTTAAAAATTTAAGTTATTCTAATTTTGAACTAAAATTTAAAAGTAAAGAAAAATTTTTAAACTTTGAATTTTCATTAATTGTTTTTTGATAATGAAAGTTAGCCAAAAATTTGAATTAAGAAATATTTTATAAAAAAAAAAATACCTTTGTTATTTTCCTCTTTGACTATACTATCAATAAGTTCAGTATCTGGTAAAATTTCTTCAGAAGCAGAAGAGTTTCCTTTAGTACAGAATAATAATGCACTATTTTCATCAGGTTGAGAAAATGTCTTCATATCAAAGCTGCAACTATCATCAGAATGCTTCTGGCCAATCAGTGTACCTATTTCTGCAGGATTCTGAAGCTGTTGAAAAAATATTAAGTGAAAAATTGCATAAATGTATTTCTAATAATTTATTCAAGCTTTTCATAACTATTTGAAAATAAATAATTTAATCTTAATAAAACTTATAAGTTTATGGCGATGATAAAATGTAAAAGTGCACAAAAAAATATTTGCAAAATTTGACCTTAAGGACTGGACAGAACTAAATACTGAAGAAATTATTCAAAAGAGATTTGTTGTATTTTCTGGCTGCCATTCTCCCCTGGGAGAAGACACAGGTAGAAGAAGAAGACCATTCTTCTGGTTTCATCCAGACTTAAGTTAAGTACACAAGAAACAACTCGTGAAAATAATATAAATATCACTGAACCATCATGTCCTTATAATAGTCAGATACCTTTGGTAGTAGTGATGGCACCACAGAGAATGGTGCACTCTCCCCACTGCTGTCATGCTAGACAGCAGTGGGGAGAGTGCACCATTCAATAGTAAGATCTGGATTGAAGTGCTTACCAATGGTCCTCCACACTAACACTGCTATCATCTGTTCCCAAACAGAAGTGGGATTTGTCACTAAAGATAATATACTGCCAGTTTGTAATGGTCTATTGTCACAACATCACTGCAAATAAAGTTAATTATGATGGATGCTAATGACAAGACATGTAGTGGTCACTATGCATGCAAATTTGCCTTTTATCATACCACTGGCAGGTGACTAGCAGAGACCACAGTAAGGCTTGCAACTGTTTCTGGATGTTGGAAAAAGATACAGTTGCAGCTGTTTGTCCTTGTCTCATGATCATCTTTGCTGGTGATCTGCCTGGGATATTCAGAGCCTAACCACCCTGTATGTGCCCTCAAGTATATCATTGTCTCCAACATCACCTCACTCAGGTCCAGAATGGCTCAAATGATAGGCAGTTTAGCAAAACAACCATTGTGCTTCCCTTAGTCTCATGATGTAACCTCCCTCAAACTCCATTAACTATGCATAATGTCTTTGTATCATACCAGGTTTTACATTCAAGGAGCTCCAAACAACAGGTTTACTGAAAATTCTGAACACAGTAACAATCTGTAAGTCTTTTTATAAGATACTAGGATAACAGTTAGGGCACTTTGATGACATTACCTGGTATACAACTGGACTAGAACTATAATCATTTACATACTCATCACTGTAAAACTGCATCTAACTAAAATTGTTCTTGATAAGACAATACTATCTTGGTGTATAACTTTCTGTCAACAAGTGCAATTAGATAGCTAGTTAATATTTATTTTTGGTGAATTAGCTAATTTTTCAGTGTTCTATAATTCTTTAACATTTTCAAAATTAAAAGCAAAAAAAAAAGTAGAATAACTTACATAATAAATTATTACATTTCAATAAATAAAATAATGCCTCTCGGGCAACAGAAGCTACTCTCAAGAACAATAAAAGAACACGAATAAAAACTAAAAAAATAACCATTAAAGATTAAAAGTAAATGATGTAAATTAAAATGAAATGAAAAGATATATGAAATCTTATACTGAATATAAAGATTTTTACTGAGTTTTAATTTTGGTATATCAAGATATAAAATCTCAAATAAAATTTATTTATAGTGTACAAACAGGTTCTTTATGATATGTTTAGTCTAATGAATAAAAAGACAAGAAATATTTCAAGTAATAAATTATAATGTACATGTACGAGAATGATAAGATTAATCCTTTAAAAAATTTGTGCTTTAAATTTCTAATGAAATGTGATCTTTCTATAAATTTCTGGCATATATAGATGGATGCATACTACTTCAGGAAAATGTTAAAAACTGTGCAATTTACTTACCACTAAAAGATATGTCTTGGTAATTTTGTTTATATAACTAGTTAAATTAAAGTTAAATTTTGATATTTGTTAATGTCATTACATCTTACTGCATTTTGATACAGTCGACCCCCATATAAGATCATTGATTATTCCGTTTTATATGAATTCCATGTTGTACAAGTCACTTAAATTTTACAAATACGTGAGCCGTTCACAGCCCGGTACACGTATTTGTAAAATCTAAGTGACTCTTACAACATGGAATTCATATAAAACGGAATAATCAATGATCTTATACAGGGGTCGACTGTATGTACAGTTACTACTTTTGATAGTTTGGAAATTAATGAAAATACTTCAGAATACTTCAGAGTACTAATTTTAAAGTAATATATTGACAGTTTGTAACTGTAATAAAAAGATTATCTGTTTTTTTTTTTGCAGATATAAGATTTATGCAAAATATGAATATTCTTTTAACTTCTCATTTTCTTCTCTGTAAGCTTAGTTACTTTGTCACATGCGCATTAGTGAATTATTTTAATATAAACTAATAATGTGTTCAAAAAGTTTAAACTGAAATTAAGGATCATTGTATGAAATTAAATTAGAGAAATTTTAAAATCAATATTATCTTCCCTAAAGAACTAATGAAAACTTCCTAACAAGCCCATCATGCAGTTTCTCAAGCAAGGCAGTCTCTCAATGAAACAGGCAGTCTGGCAGTGTCTCTCACTATCTATGAAAAATTCTTTTAGATCCATTCAGACTTGAACCCAAGTCCCACAGTATTTTAAACATGCACCTTAGCTAATTTGGTCAGTTGTTATCTCTGAAAAATTGTTATGAAATTGATTAGAGTGAGTAATTCATTAAAATTTATTAATTAAAACAGACTTGTTTTGGCCAAATATTAGGCATAATTACTTGATACTCTTGTTAAAATCAATACATCAGAAATTTAATCTTTGCCATACAAAAATTACACTAATTTAATATACTTTTTGTGAAATGATTACATGTTCCTACAGGCTGATGATAAATTTTATGCATTGCATTGCTTGATATGGTCACAAATTAATATTACTAATATTACAATGAAAATTATATATTTGTGTAAACTCATTTTATAAAGAAACACCAAGAAAGATATGATATTTATGAAAGCTTTATTTATTATTTTCATCTTTAATAATAATGTGAGAATGCGACAGTAGAGAGTTATTTATTCAAAAATTTATTGATTTTATTTATCACAGTCTTAGATTTTCTCACTTGATTAATAATTTCTATGTAATATTTTAGCTATGAAATAGACCAAAAATCATCATTTTTGTGTGGGAAAGGGAAATAGAACTTCCCTTATAAAGTTCTTATCACAATTATCAGACGAACGTCTGTCTCTTGCATCAGATGTATGTCTTGTCAGATTATCAGAATACTAAAATCTGATTGGTGAAAACTTAGAATAAGAAGAAAAAAAGTTCACGAGTTTGAAGCAGTCCACGACGAAAGGAACTTGTCACAGAGACAGCAGTTTAAGGGAAGAACATGCCATAAACTATAGACAGTCAACCGGAATTTGGACCTGCCATAATAATTAGAAGAAGATAGTACCACTCTCTCTCTCCAGCATTCGTCTTGCATTCTCCAAGTTTGATCGACAGAAGTATTATCATTATTTTTAACCAACTGTAAACTCTCTCTCGTGCTTAGAGTGCATTTTAGATAATATAACCTATTGTAAATTGAGTCTATGTATCCTGATTTATGTATCTCTTTGTTTTTTTTTAATTCATTAAATCCTTTTTGTTGTTTGTTAACCTGTTGATTTCCTCAGTTACTTAAGTACAGACATTCATCCCGCTATGATTGGAACTTGTCTGCGACTCCTCCCCACTCGATAGAGTATAGCCCTCTGTTTAACATCTAGATCGTAACATCGCGAGTTAGGGAATGAAACTCCTACCCTAGCTGATGTCAGTCCTGACATCAGAAGGATTCTGCAATCCCCACGACATTCTATAAAAAGCCATCCAGTGACTCAGTGAGCAAGTCTTAATGACCTGACGGACCAAAGGGGTTACGAAAAACACTCTCAGACCCCCATAGTCTNCCTTCACTTCAAAATTCCGATGCCGAGGGCCAAGGCTAACGCCAAATTCGTACTGCATTGAATAGACTAGTGACTAGTTTAATGTTATTTGTTTAATTATTGTACGATATAACAAATAAAATATCTAATTGTTCTTAATATAATGTTTTACTATATCGCCCAGAAAATTGTTTTTTGCCCCCCAAAATATAAATTGTTACTAATTGCTCCTTCAACATGGAAAAACGTCCACATGGGGGCGATATCGCCCCTGTTGAGAAACACTGTATTAGACAGAGCATCTGCTTAAAACTTTTTGAGCAATTAGAAATTTACTTCATGATTTCTATGCATGAAAAAGAAAAGGGCAAATGTATTCACTTTAAACATAATATTTTCATAGCACAGAAATCTATTTCTTTCTTTCTTTAAAGAAAGAAAATATATAAAAAATAGGTGAACTACAACTTATTTTTATTCCTTATTTTTCTTTTTTATTTTTGTTTTTTAAATTTTAAAATGTCTCATCAAAGTTTGACTTCACAACATTTTTCTTCTGTTTTTGTTTTGAAAATTTACTGCAAACTTTAAGATCTGTTGAAAAACCTGCACTTGAGTGACAATTGAAAGTTGCAATAGTTTGTTTGTCCTACTTGGAATAATAGTCTGAAGGCATTAGTGTTCATCAATGTAATATTGATATAAAAGTTAATGTGAATTAAGTTGTTGACTTCAGTTTTAAACTCATTCATTAACAAGTGTATGACACTTGAAAGTCTTTGCATTAGTGTGCATCACTATTAGTTACTAAAGAATGTACATTATTGTCACAAAGTTTTTGAACTCATTTCCTATAATAATTCAGCAGTATAACTACTAAAACTGAGTAAAACTTTACATTATTTCAGCTGACTGTAATAAATTACTGTACAATGTATCCACCTTCTCATTTTCCATATTGTCAGAAAAACATTTCATTAAAGTGGATGTTTGTAAACTTGAATGATCTTTTCCCTTTTTAGTTAGTGGAATTTACTGTATACATCATTACCATCTTTAACATAGAAACATGCAGTCATTTATGTACCACTATCAGTCAAAAAATTAAGACTAATCTGACAAATATATTTATAAACCAGTTGATAAATGGAATTAACATTATCATGATACTTTTTAACAGCTCTACTACCTAATTGTGATGAAGTGTTTGAGCTTTTTTTTCATTTTTATTGTGCAGCAACTCTGATTTAATAAACAACATATTTTAAACAAGAGTTTGAATCAAAAAAAATATTGGAAATTTTAAAAAAATGGCAGTAGAAGTGTAATTTAAACGAGAATCAAACATCAAAAAGCTATCTGAGAATTACAAATGTGGAGGTTTGAATTTGAATTTTAAAAGATGGACTGGGCATTTGAAACAGAAGTAGCATTCAGTGGAATTTGAAACACTGAAAGTTTCATTTTTATTTCAAAAATAAATGAGAAGCATCCAAAAGCACATAGATTACAGTTTATAGAAAATTTCATAATAATGTACTCCAGAAAAAGCAGATAGTAGTTGTAATTTTATTTTAAAAAAACCTGATTTATGGTATAAATCAGGGATTAGCAAGCTGTGGCACATGATTTTCAGTGGAACTGTGATTGAATAGAAATGCAGTATAAATTAAATTTTAATTATTAATTGCACATTTAAATGGAAACCATAGTTCAGTATAGTACATTAAAAATGAACTCCTACTTATATGTTTATATTTCAGTGCATACATTTATGCTCCATATCATCATCTATGTGTTGTGCATGCACTTCACGTATAAAAACATAATTCAATTAACAACTTAACTTCAAAATTATATATTTTTGAAGTCCATTATAACCAGAACAAGTTTGATAATATATATAACAAAATTAGTGAAATCATGTCAGCACCCAGAATAACACTATAACTTAGGTTTGGCATAACACTGCTGAAAGATTGTCGATCTCTGGTATAAATGATAATAGAAATGAAAGCATCAGCAGGTAGTACTAGAATTAATTATTTTTCTAATTTCTATTATAGTAGAGCGTCATTTATCCAAATCAATTCAGAACTGGGGTTGTTCGGATAACCAATTATGTACAAAAAAATATATTAATTTATCTCATGTTGAAATTTTTCTCTGTTGCATGCCGCTTCGCATTGAATTTTCGTCGATGTTAAGCCTAACGAAGACTATTGTATCCTTAAAAATTATTTTTTTATTTTGTACAAACAAAATAAATATATTGAAAAATATAAAAACAATAAAAAATTATACTTCAGAAGTTAATTTAGTATCAAAAACGTAAAATATTTGAGTAACCGAAGACCTAGCCAAAGATTACAGCGCCACAGCACTGGCAAAAATTTAAATTTGTCAACTGGAATTCCTTCGGCTAAATAAAGGAAAATTGAAAAAGTTCAGTTCACACACAGATATACAGCTTGGAAACAACTATACATATAACTGAATAGAATGAAATAACAAGAATAAATAAAATGATAACACAGTTTATGGAAAATATACATTAACTAACACTTGCTGTAAACTGCATTCTCATTCTGAAATAAGCTAAATATCCTTACTTTTACAATTCATCCTATAGGAAAAGTTACAAGCATCATTATAAAAGTACAAATATATACATATACAAATAAATTGCTAAATTTAGCAATACCATTGACTCCCTCTATAACACTGTTGATAATTCTGTGTTATATGAATTCCATATTGTACGAGTCACTCAGATTTTACAAATACATGTGCTGGGCTGTGAACAGCTCATATATTTGTAAAATCTAAGTGACTCATACAACATGGAATTCATATAACACGGAATTATCAACAGTGTTATAGGGAGGTAAACTGTAATTCATTTTTGATATAATTTTAATGAATCACATTTTAACATTTTTCTACTACAGTAATACCTCGACTTACACAAACTCAGAGTTATGCGATTTCAAATCTCGTCGATTTGTCTTTTGTTTGAGCACCACGCAATTCTTGATTACTCACTCCCCCCACACTATTGTTCAGCTTACATGTTCGGACGTGTCATGCGGAATCGACACATAGCTACAATTTATTTGTGTTATTTATTTCTGTGTTTGTTATATCTACGGAGACTTGAGAGACTCTATATGGTGATTTCTTGTAACCATGAACGAATCAAAAGATGAGATAAGATTAACAAGAACATTTATTAGCTTACATACATCCTACTTGGATTTTACACAAATTGCGAAATTATACCCCAACTTACACAGTTATCGCTCAGTCCCACCTATCGTGTAAGTTCGGGGTATTACTGTATATATTTAAATAAAATAATTATTATTCTGATGACAACATATATTCATATTCATTTGAATTTATAAAAAGAATATATAAACATTTATGAATTAAAATTTTAATTTAACACTAATAAAAATAAGAAAATTTTGTTGATAAACATTGACAAACTAATAGTAATAAATAAGATGAACAATATACATATATCATATACATAACTATTAATCATGAAATATATTATCTTAAGTACTGAATACTATAAAAAAATTTGAGTAAATGATTTATTGAATCATCTTTAAGTGAATAAAATCTTAATTGATTGATTAACATAACAAAGACTTGAAACAAATACAAACACAAATTTAACACAGAAAAAATTACTTACATTTAAATTTCCATCAGTTTTAATACTTGAAAATTCATAATCCGAAGTAATTTCAGGAATTTTTGGTCCATTTTGTAAATTTGATGGCTCTGATTCGATGCCTTCTAGAAAATCCAGATTAAACTGTGATTCTATTTTATAGTCTTGAACCTGAGGAAAATTAAAGTATTATTATAATTCATATCCAATTTTTAAGTTAACATGTTAAAATGTAAATACAGTTATCCCTTGCTTAACATGGTTTTGCTTAATGCAAGATTTGATTAACACACGAAATTCATTGCAACAATTCCTTTATATATGTGGCAGAAGTTTAATTAACACAGATTTATCAGCTCTCTTTACTTAACATAGATACCATATTTGATTAATGCAATTTTGATATATGCAGTACCATCAAGGTATTAATTAACCACATTAATCAAGGAATACCTGTACAATATTTGCTTCATCAAAATATATTATTCAGGATAATGCTATTTTTAAATATAACAAAATTTTAGAATATTTATTTAATTTCCTTTATAAAGCTAATATTAACAAAAGAAGAAAATACTTAAAACTTATTTAATTGCTATAAACAAGGTATTACTTTTATATTTTAGTTTACAAAATTATCACTTTGAATCCATAACATTCATATAAACAGTACAGATCCATCAAGAACAATTCAGATGACATAATCTCATGAAAAGGAAACATTTTAATGATTAGCTTTCCAGGAACAATAAAATAGTCAATTGTTAAAAGATTCATTATACATTCAATTGTATATAGTTGTCATAACAACAAATATTTTTGACATGCAGCTTAAATGAAGACCCTACACTGAGACATCCCCAATAGACTATCATAACCAGACTGACCTCATTCTGTGCAGCCAGTGTTGGAGGAGCTCAGTCATGGCAGAAAAAAACCTTTCCAGGTGCCGACTGTGGTTCTGATCATGAACTTTTGGCAGCCAAAATCAAGACCAGAATCTGTGTTGTCTGTAAGGATGTCCCAAAGGAAAAATTTGACACTTTCAAGATCCTTCCTTCATATACTCTTGACCTGACAAACAGATTTGAGTTGCTTGCTACAGCAGAGAAGCAACCTGATGAACTTTGAAATGCCATAATAACTGAAGCTGCCCACAAACAAGTCAAACTGAATATCCCAGAAAAACATCATAATTGGTTGCCAAAGCAAACCATTTAAATCGTAGACCACAGAAAGGCAGCAAAAGCAGTTGGTAATAGACAAGAAGTAAAGCAACTGAATGCAGGATGAGTCCAATGAGTAGCAAGGAAAGACAAAGAAGAATACTGGAATGAACAATGCAAACAATGTAAATTAGAATTTAATAAAAGCCACACAAGAAACCTCTTCTTACAGACCAGAAAGTTTAAAAAGCCATTCATGGTCCATAAAAGCAACATAGACAAATATGGAAAGAAGCTAAATGACCAACAGATAATCAGAAACAGGTAGAAAGAGTATACAGAAGAACTATATATTTGCAGTCATGGGCCTGACCCACTGCATGGAAACAGCAATCCAGATTTAGAGCCATCCATACTGGAATCAGAAGTGATCAAAGCAATGAAACAACTAACCAAAAACAAAACAATAGGCATAGACAACACCCCAGCAAAGTTACTACAACCAATATCTGTTAATGGCCATAGGATTAGAAAAAATCAATCTTAATCCCTATACTATACCCTATCCCTATACTGTGACTGTGAAAATTTTTTCACAATAGCCGAGATACTTCTCAAGATCATACAAGAAAGGTTAAGAAAAATTATTGAAATAGCACTTCAAAATGTTCAAGCAGGCTTTTGATGTGGACAAAGCATGCATGATCAAATTGCAAATTTAAGATGGGCCATAGAGAAAGCTCATTAATTCCAGAATAACATCCACATGTGCTTCATTGACTACAGCAGAGCGTTTGATTGTGAGGAACACAATAAGCTATGGAAAGCCTACAGGAGTTTACTAAATGTACTGATACACCAAAGTTCATAAAGTCTTTGTATACCAATCAAGAAGCCACAATGATGACAGCACATAGTTACACAGACTGGTTTAAAATCAGTAAAGGTGTCCAACAAGGATGTATTGTCACCATCTTTTCAACATCTACTCAGAAATGATCATGCGAAAATCTTCTTTAAATACCTGAAGATAGAAGTAAACAATAGGTGTCAGAAACATCAACAATCTTCATTATGCTGATAACACAACCCCACTCACAGAGTCAGAGGATGACCTGTGACTCCTCATAGCAAAGGTCAAATTTTCCTGATTGGTTCAAAAGCTCATCAGCTCTTGGACCAAAAGATTTGAGCATGAGAAATGTGAGAAAGTCTGCTAGAAGAGAGATAGCAGAAACAAAAAGAAGTATGTAAAGATTGGATCTGAAGGATTTGATAAATGGATGAGCTTAAGAGTGTAATCCCTCTTTCCTGCTCCCTTATGGAAAATGTGTGTGATGATATGTATGTGTGGTATATTTTATTTTATGAAGTGCAATATTTATTTAAATTTAACCATTTCAGTTTAAAACAGACAAGTTTTAAAAAAAAAATTAAATTTTTGAAACTAATAGTTTATTTTTGAAATAAAAATTTTATATTATTACTACGTATGAAAATATTTCTCAATTTAAGGAAATTAAATATAATATCTTAACTGAAATTTTTAATACTTTTTTTTAAAGTTTTAAAAATATTAAAAAATAAGACACTTTTCAAGAAGAAATGTTTTAAATTTAAATAAAACTAGATTTATGCTAAACCTGCTTCTTAAAAATAGGAAAATAGGTTATTTACAAAAAAATAGGCTATTTATAAATTCTGACATTGAATTTCTTGAGTAACACTGAAAAGTTAACAAGGAAATGCACAAAGAAATGTCTATTTTTTTCACATGTATTACATTATTATAAATATAAAACAATTTCATAATATAGTCCATAATATTTCAATACAAGTTCCTTTAATGTTGCTTTTAAAATTTATATATAATTCATAAATATTCTATTTTAATAACATTTTCACTGTAATATGCAATCAATAATTATATTATTGATTTCAAATTGCTATAAAAGGAATATGAAAAGAAATTATAAAAAATGATTTTTTTAGCATGTAAATTTTAAATCTATATTCGTATACAGCATAATTTTATTCAGATATATTAATAACAATAATTTAATTTAACATGTGAAAACTTTAATTTCAAAAATGCATCTAAATCCACTATTTCCTGCTTTATTGAGATCCTTACATTTCATCATAAGGCTGTGCCAGATAACATTATGATCAATTCATCTATGGCAAAGAAACACATTTAGGAAGGAATCAATATTGTAAATATAAACTTTATATTAGCAGTATTAATTCCTGGTTATAGATAATGTTACAGTAATCTCTCCATTTACATGACTTCACTTTAACATGGTTGAAAAACTTTTAAATAATTAGCCAGATACCACAATAACCCTTAAAGATTTTAAATTTATGCAAACACATTAATGTAAGGTTATACACATTGCAATTATACAAATTCAGGAGTTCCACAAATTTAATTTATTCTGTATTCTTATTACAATTGTGTAGTAAACACATGTAATCTAGTAAAAAGTGACAGTGAAACCATGGTTCCAAGATGTAAATATGTCTAACTAAACATTTAGCTTGAAATGACAGTGTTTTTATTAAGATGCTTGTATTTTTATTCTCTGTATTAAATATAGTATAATGGGAATGCAACATATGATACAATATTTCGTATGCAATAACTCAATCTATCTCTTATACTTTGGGAAAAGCAAGCAACACATCTGTCAAAACGTGTTGCTTGCTTTTTGCAACAGTTTAACACATCTGTCAAAATGCATATAGTCTTTTATTATAAAAACAAAATAATTGTACAATTACATCAATAAGAATAAAATAAATTACAAATTCTGACAGTTTATTAAATGTACTTTAATTTACATGTGGAGTTTATTACTCTACCACTTACAAGTCTTGTATTATTAAGCATTAAAATGGAGTTATGATTTTAGTGATTCAATGGCTCCATTTACATACTGTTTTCATGGAACTAATTATTCATATAAATGGAGAGATTACTGTATATGTATATAGACACACATTCAAACACATACACACACTGGTATCTCATACTCCAAATAATTCCAACTTCAAATGTTTGAGTTCAAAAGCTATCCAAAGTTCAAATGATGCTTATATGTTTAAAACTGTGCATACAGCGAAGAAAACATGCTTGTTATATAAATACCATCTGTTTTGTACCCAAGTCATCTCTTGCTCTCACTGCAAAAGCATCTCTTGCATTTCATTTGTGTTTTCAGTCTTTTTTGCTTTATTTTTGGTGTATTTGGTTAAATATGACAACCCCTATCTATTAACAATGGCATCCAAAAATTGTGTAGAAGCAACAAAGACTAAAAAGAAGGAGGTTGTAATAGCAATTGTTGAAGTTAAAAAGTAACTTATATGCCACTTTCATGGTTTCTGATGTTTGGTGGATCTGGTAGTCATATTTAAGATGCCAAAGTTGACGGTTTGAAAAAAGTAAATGAAATTTTTATTTTATAATAAAGTATTTACATATTTTATTATTTAGGGAAGCATTTAACAATCTTTTAAGCCCATGGAGCTGTAAAATATCTGAAAAAATTCTACAAACCACTAAGTTATGGAGACCTCATTTATTTTTTAAGCCAATGACCAACATTTGGGACATACTATGCCATTTATAACATTATAAATCTTAAAGGATGTTTTGAATACATATGGAAACATAATTAAACTGGAAGCAAACTATAAAAAGTGAATCATCATTGAACAAAGTTTTAATCTTTATTAATTTAAGTCTGTCTGTGGAGACCACCTGTCCCATCATTGCAGACTACAGGTTAAGAAATGCTGACTTAAAAATAACAGTTATATGACCTATCTTAAATTATGCGCATTTGCTGTGCTTAGTCTGGGAATAGATAATTCATTTCCCATTATTTCTGTTGGAAAAAATTGATTTGGAATTCAAACAATTTAGAGTTTTCTCAGGACAATTCAGAGCCTCCCGAGAAGAATTAAATTCAAAGTACAAGGCATCACTGTAAATTC